TCGCGATAGTATCTACTATCACTATCGTGATAGTTGCATCAACACTATCACGATTGACACGTGGCAGATGTACGCATGCGCATTTTCAAACACGTGGTTACTTTAATTAGTTAGTTCAGCTGTGAAAATGGAAGATGTTATCATTACTAGCGGTACTGCTCCAAAAAACAGAAATATTGCCTTTACCTGGTGCTACTAGTGTTGTATGGAAGTATTTTAGTTTTCCTGCAGTTGATAGTAAAATTTCTGGGTGCTTGAATGGCATGGTGGATCACAAATTCCTTTTGTTATCCAATATTATCACAATTAGCTAGGAAATATTTATGTATATACCAGCATGAATGTCTGTTCCCTCTAAATGTGTATTTATAGTACTGCTGGGAATATAGTTACTAAAAAAGAGCTTGTCTACTGCCAGAAACTGTTAATATGCTGGTTTTTCTAGCTGAAAACCTCAAATATTCATCTACCTTTAATCCTTTTGCCTATTTTGTTACACTAAATAAATATATTCAAATTAATTGTTAATATCGTGATAGTATCACTATCGTTAAAATTTTAAGAACTATCAATCGTGATATGATAGTAGCACTATCGCCCAGCACTAATCATTATGGACCTTTTGTTTTACAAGAAGCTACTTCAAAGCTCAGTCAGTGATAGCAGGAGAGAGTGTGTATGCTTCAAAGAAAGAAGAGACTCTTAGAAATATTTAGAAGCATGTTACTAGTCTATGGGATTTGTGTTGTACGTTGATGTACCTCCTAAACTTTATATTTCTAGTACGATATGTCTCTTTTTATCACAATAGCCAGTCCTATTATCCAGTCATTCTTCAGGCCTGAGATTAAGAGTGTTCTTGCTTCACACTGTCCTCTTCTCTTTTATTGTGCATGCAGTTAATTCATTCATTAATGTGTGGTTGTAGCAATTGATGTTGGACATTAGTTTTTGTATACTTTAGGTTCTCTTAGTTATTAATCTATTGATTTTGTTTTTCATGTTGCTTTTTCTGTTTCTCTACATATGACATAATTGTGACAACATGCCTTTGATACAGTAGTTCCACTTTGCCTTTTCCTGCTATCAAATATGGCTAATCTTTGCCTTGTAATAGAGTAGCGCAAGATATAAGCAAGTATTGCAGTTATTAGGAGAAATTAGATACTGTAGTTATGGAAAGCAACTTTACTTTTACTGGTGAGTTCAGTGGTCCAGCAGTAGCAGCAGTTCTTACTGTTGAGATGATGAACATGTAAATACTACATGTACATGTACATGCACATGTATAGTAAAAGCTATTATAACCACTTGTTTAGTGTTCTGATTGGTCAATTAATATGCGGTATGATACATGTACTAGGGGTGGATCCAGGATTTTGGAAATAGGGGTGTTGTGAAATAAAATGACTGGCGAAGCGTGCCACGATTTGGACCACCCCCTCTTTTGGAGCTATTTTGTGGTTAAAATCACATAAAATTAACATTTCCACCATTTTTGGAGCTCTTTCTTTGTTAATAATATATTCATTAACCACAGTAATGTTGGTTAGCACTTCTACCACTGTTTCAGCAATAAAAAACATAAAAAATTTTTTGAGTTAGAATGCTTTGGGGGGGTTGCAACGCCACAAACCCCCCCCCCCCTTGATCTGCCCCTGACTGTACAATGTATATACATGTATACATGAGTAAGCATTTGTTACTACATGTTATTAACGTGTGTTCTCATGCCACGCCAATGACCAAACAATTATAGTTACTAATTAGCTTACTGCACTTAGTGACAGATGTGTGATGTAGTTATTAATTATCATGATGTATTGATTAGTAGATGGGCACTGGTCCATTGAGTACCGTAGGGCGCTCTTTTTTTGAGGGATATAAATTTTGAGTTCCTTTCTTAGCAAAGGTAAATTTTGCGAATGGTGACTGCCTAACTGACACAATTGCTTTCTAAGGTTAAGGTACGTGATTTTACAAAGGACCACCAGAGTTTTGGAAAAAGCCAAAAAACATTAAGTCTATTATTGTCCAAGAATAGCTGAAAATAGTCTAAAAGGGCACCTTTACTATAAAAATGCCCACATGACACATGCTGTTACACCCCCTTGCAATTAAAGGCCACAATATTTGCGTCTTTAGGAAAGATTCACAAAATCTGCAAAATTTATAACCCTCGAAAAAAGGTGCCCTATGGTAATGGACAATGACAAGTAGTCCTACATGTACATGTACATGCGTGTGTTTGTGTATTGGTAGTATTTCAAAGTGTTAGCATGATTTGATTACTATATCCAGCCCTGTAGGCTGTAGTGATCCCCAGGCAGAAATGTTCAATGCACAAAATGCACTGAAAAATTTTGCATAGCTAATTAACTATTCATGATGGGCATTGTCAATTTTAATTAATTAATGATGTTAATAATGAAAGATACGTAAAATTATTGTAAGATATTTTAGGTTCCATCATAGGTTCATTGAATTTCAAGTCAGTCACGACAATACGATTTTTCTCTGTCTCCTGTTGTTATCCTTAGCATTAGCAGCAACTCTGTTTAGAACTTCATCAGAGACAACTGAGCAGATAAATCTCTTTCAATAGATGTGATCAACGGACCTTTGTTCTCTCATTGTTGTACGAAGCCACTTTTTCATTTTGTTTTAAGAAAAAAAAGGATCATTCACATGATGCAGAGCTTACAGCTGTGGTAAGTGTGATTTCCAATAACTTGACTAAATTATGAAATGTATTTTTAGGTGTGATAGCTCCAAAAAGATACTCCTCAAACTTCTACCAGTAGTGTTGCTATGGCATGCTTGGCCAAAAAACACTTTTCAAAAATCATATCCTTATTGAGATTGTAGTTATAAATAATTGGGAGAAGGTTTTCAGGATCTAAAAAGCTGGACAACTGAGGGTTTCAGTGCTGATTAGAGCATAGTATATCAAGATTGGGACCTGAGAACTGTTTGTTCAGCTCATAAAGTATGCAGTCAATTACTGGAATGTAAGTAGATGTTTTGAGCTAATCATAAGTGCTGCTCTTTTCCCTCATTCCAATACATGTAGTTTTCATTATGTTATCTTGAAGTCGATGTGGAATCACTCTTGTACGTCCATGACCATCAGTAAAGTTGATGTCTAATAGTGGTTCTGACTTCTGAGCTGGACTGAAAAGTAAAGGCCAAAAAGACAAATTTAATCCTGGCAATATCAAAAAACAGCAATTCATATTGACTATAGTCTAATGATGTAAAATTTTGTTGCTGTCATTTTTATTCATAAAAAATGATAATTCAAATTGCAGCAAATTTAGTGGTGCTAACACTGACACTATATAAGATTGCTTGAATTGTATCTTGAACTTGGTGGAAGCCGCTCTGCCCAATGGCATGTCATGACTATGATAATCATTTTTTGGCTCAGGTCTAGTTCAATGAAATAAAACCACTCTGTTCATAGTTCAATCATTCCCTCAGACACTAGACAGCATGACAACAAAGGCTATGCAGCAACTGGAATTTAAGTGAATCATAAACATACTTCATTGAATTATGAACATACTTATGAATATATACC